TACTTAGCCGGATCTCCTGATCATGAAGATTTAAATATAATAACAAACAACTTAAATAGCTTAAATGAGAACAACAATAATCAAATAGTAATTAACCAGTTATTCGAGAAACGCATAAATAACATAACTTATATAGTAAACAAAATGTTAAACACGATAAGGAAGGACGACAATGTTCTAACGGAAATTTTAATAAATTTGCAAAATAGAATCAGGCTAATTAAGGAAGAGCTAATTAATATAAGGTATGCCGTTCAATGGGCAAAGCATAATATAATAAATTCAGTAATGTTAAGCAAGGAAGAAGTAGAATTGTCAATTAGTAAAAGAGAAGATGAAGTACCATTTAAAAGTGCCGAAGAAGCATTAGAACTGTCAAAAGTAAATGTATTTAGCCAAGATATGAAGATTGTATACATGGTAAAAATACCTCTAACATTAAAAGAAACATTTAGAAGAATTATTATACGACCTGTAAAAAGGATTAACAATATTGTAATTAAAACTGAGTATAATGAAATATTGAAAGGAATTGTTTGGAATAAAAAATAAATGCGAAAGCTATAATGATGTAACCATTTGCAAGGAAACTCATTTGGTAGATTTAAGTAAAGATTTATGTGTAACTAGGATAATTAATAGTTTAAACTCAACATGTTCGACAATCAACGGCCATCACGTCCCTACGCTAGAAGAAATAAAACCAGGAGTAATATTGCTAAACCAGTTCAACGGCAAACTAGAAGCCAACGAGACATCCCAAGAAGTAAACGGAACGCACGTGATAATATTCTACAATTTAACAATTAAAATCAACAGTCAAACATTCAGCAATATTGAAATAAAGCCAATCGAAACCATCCCTGCAATACTACAGCCAATCCCGTTGGAAAAGGACCACATAGAACTACTTTCCCTAGAAGCCTTGAAGGACCTGCATATCAACAATACCCATCGAATAAATTCCCTCAAAAAGGCAACCTTCTCTGTCGGAAGTCTAACTACGGCAGCATTCTTAATAATCATAGTACTTCTTCTTTTTTTCTTAAGGAAACGATCCGTGAAAATCCAATATGTGGGAAAAGAAATAGTGAAGCCCAGCACAAGCCTGGAAGTCAATCAGTCAAGCGAAACAAACCACATTCCAACATACGTAAATCTCAACAACTTACCATTCTACTAATGATCG